TGAAGATGTTTTTAGCCAAGCAAACGTGCCGTGTTCTTAAATGTGTGAAAACCCTGCAGCGTTACTTCCTGCCCCTTTCTCCTCTGTGTTGCTGAAGCATTGCCATCAGTAGTGTTGTTCAGTCTTTGTGTCTCTATGATGTTACTCAGTGCAAATTCATGTTTGAAGTATAATTCCTTTACTCTGTGTTTACACTGGCGTTCAGAGCTTTGCATGCTTTCTTGACTACGTAATTGTAAAAGTGACAGATTTCTCTTAAAATTTTAAGATGATGATCCTTAAACTGGCACATGTTTTAATAGTTTCACTGGCTTTGGTTAGGTCTGGTATTTGGGGTTAAAGCTTTTAGAAATCTCCAAGTGAGGAGACTCTAAACCATTTAACTTTGTTTGAGACTATATCAGTTTCCATATGAAAAAAGGTCTATTTCTGTATATGTTTTATAAGCAGATCATTTAGTCGGTATGTTAAAACCAGGAAGTGACCTATAAATAGCATCCAAGACACAGTCAATTGCAAAACTTCAGTAATGAATGTAAACATTTCCAGTGAAAATGTTGATCTTTGTCACTGGTAGTTTTTTTTTCATTCCTCATAGCAAGTGATACTTTGAATTTCATGATTTCTAACCTCGGGAAGAAGATTACTTTATGCTTGTGTGTTAGTGCTAACTCCACTATTCTAAAATAATCACAGTGACGATTTCTTGGAAGAGATGATAGGTGAGGATGTGTTACCCTTACAAAGCCCTTGCTGCAGCTGTGAATAGAGAAGTCAAAACATTCCCCTGAAGATGGCATACATATTTTCTTCTTTTTTTTTTTTTTTTCAATTCCATGGGAAAGTAGGGACATTGCAGTTTTATTTCCACTAAACAAAAGGAAGGTAAAAAAAAAATTATCTGCAATCTCTGCTCTGTAAAGGTGACAGTTGAAGCACATGGAATCATTTACTCAAATTACCTTTTAAATTCTCAGAAAAACCCCAAGCCCTAAAATTAAATCTCCTCCTAGACACCAGTGCACTGCAGCAGAACAGCTCTGTCATGCAAGGAAAGAGCTAGGACGATAACTGCTCAGGGCTGCTTTCCTATAAATGTCATGATGACAGTTGGCTCAATTGTTCTTGTCCTTTTGCAATGCATGCGATTTTGTGGCAGTAGGTTACATTTCCAGACGGGCAATGCTTCAGCAATTACATGGAATCAGTACATTCTCACACGACGAGCTTCACTATACTGCTCACACATGGATGAACAAAGGTAAGACTCATAAACACGGGCTTCGTTTTTATCCTAGCATGCAATTTGAAGCGTCCTGTGTGTTTCTGTCAGTGAGGTGGGTAGCAAGTTAGAGGTTTTGCAGTTGGTTTTAAATCAGAAGCCTTCTATTTATATGCTGCTGATCGTAGCTGGAATTTAACAATCAGTCCGGTGTTCTGAAGGAAGAGTTTCCATCTATATCTCGCTAACCCAAACCATGCGTAGAAGAGGGCTGGATCAAAACATTTTGAAGAAATCAGGACTACTGTTAGGAGAGTGGTGGTGTTTATATTGTATCGTCTTAACCCATGAAATGCAGGTTTTTTTAAGTGCACTGACTGCAGATAATAATGCTTTTGCTCAGAGCTGCTCATGTCTAACAGCGTGAACAGCAGCATCTCCCAAATGACAGTCACTCATTAGCTCTCAGGGGACACTGGACCCCTCTGATGGTGCTCTCAGCTCTGCTGCTGCTAGCTGCAGGAACAGCCTGGAGACCTATTTATAAAAAAAAAAAAAAAAAAAAAAAAAAATGCCAAGAAATCTAGGTCTGCGAGAGGAAGAGGAGGGAAAAGGACATGGTTGTCTGAGAGAGACAGCTGGGTAGGAGCAGAGGGATCCTGGGAGTTGGATATGTGCCTCTCCGAGAAAAGGGAATACTGGACTCCCTCAAAGCAGGAGGCAATTTAGAGGCAGGAGCACATTTATGAGAAAGTGTCATATAGCAGGATGTTCTGCAGAGGAGGAGAAGAGGGAAAGAGAACTGAGGGCCAGAAAACTATCTGCCTTTCACGTGTGAACGCCCTGTCCCCTTACTGAAGCAGGGAGTCCAAATAAGCCTCGTTTGACCTAGGTTACAGGGAGTACCTGGAAGCGGTCCTGGTTCAGACTGAGGCAGAAAGATGTTGTAGCTGACATTCTTGCTACACCCACTGTGCAGTGCAAGAAAAGGAAAATATAAGACAAAACCCAGGATGTGGTGGTTGGGTTAAGGATTACTACAGATTGGCAGTGTTCGTACAGGTCAACGTTTAGAAGATGGGACATCATCTTAAAAGACATCAATCATGCTAGAAAAGGATATGACAAGTTTTTAAAATTTCACAAAGTGCTTTTATGTTTCTCTAGGATACAATGGAGTGGTTTCTAAATAGATAAAGGGAGTCCCAGGGAATAGGCCTAAACTAAATTTTATCCCAAAATCTAGGAAGAAAAGAGGCTGCTACCATGCTTTAGAGCTAGCCAATAAAGTCACACAGTGATTGCAGCCTTTCATAGGTTTTGGTTTGCCATTCAGATATATTTAATGACATCAAATTTTGACACATGTCATGCTGGTCTTTAGAATTTCAGTTTGAGTAGTGTATTTAATAGGAAATGGCACAGTATGTTCCCAGAAGTGTCCTAAAGATTTTATCTGTTAGTGTCAGTTCTGCAAAGATGTATTAGTTAACTGTACTGCACAGGAGTGAGGAACATTTCTTGTTAATTTAGGGAGGGAGAAAGCTTGATGACACATGCAAATGGCACATCATATATTTTAAGTTCCGTGTATGTCGCCTACACTAACTGCATTTGTCCTTTCAACATCTTTCTCAGTTTCAGAACCACCATATTTGAATTTTATGTGACTGTGATATTAATACACCTGTTACAGAGAAAATTAATTACATAATAACATTTTAAAAAATTAGGTACCCTACAGGGAAAAAAAAATATATATATATATATATATGTGGAGCCCTGATGATCTCTGCCTTGAAATTACTGTCTTCCCCTTCCTTACCTGTCAGCTGTCACTGTGCTTAGGAAGGAGCGGGGCCAACCAGTCCACTGCAGGAGAAGTACAAAGTGCTTGGGGTTATGGGAAACACTAATTCTCAAGGTATTAGAAGCTGTGTTTGCACGTGAATAAACAATCCCAGTTTTATGCGGATATACTTAGCAGTACTGAGGCAGAACAAGTGCCTACGTGACGGTGAAACGGGGTGAGGGCAGCGCTTGGAAGTTCAAGTAGACCCAAGTTTCTCTTCCGTGAAGATGGGACTGAAGTGCCAGGGATGGCTGTCCTGCGAAGCTCCTGTTTGACAAGTTACAAGATGCCCACAAAGTACCGAAACTGGCCCAAGTGTGAAAGAGCAGCAGGGGAATCTGCCCCCATCCCTGTGTGCCAACTTTGAAGGCAGCATATGTGGAAACGTTTGGTGAAGTTCCAGTAGGGCTTTGCCGTGGGTCTCTCCAGTCCCTCCCAGGTAGCTGCTGTGGAGAAGATAATTTCAGCAGCTTGCACTGAGCCATCTGGGGAGGGGAATACAATGCTCCAATACGGTGTCTGAGGAAGAGATTCACCAGCGAAACTTCTGCTTCTGGGGGAGAGCAGGAACCATATACACGATGTGAGGCTTATCCCAGTTTTAAGCTGGAGTACGTGAAAAAGTCCTTTTCTAATTTTATTCTTCAACCATGGCAGAAAGTTTTGCTCTTTTTAGACATTTTTACTGGCTCTGAAGAGACAGCTCTCTCTTCTGAGTTATTTGAAGGATAATTTCATACCAGACATGGATCTACTTCGCAGTGATAGGTTCAGAAGTGAGCCTTTTATCTCGGGTCCGATAGCTCCAGCTATTTCTCCACCTCCAGAACCTCCTGGTCGTCTGGTTGTTATTGTTGGAGAAAAGCATGTGAGGTTTCCAGTCATCTACGTCTATTTTTGACTACAGGTTGGTAGAGAGCAACACTGGCACAAGTTGTTTTGCAAAGACTGTGCTGACAGCCAGCCCTACTCTCTCCTTCCCTCCACCTCCTTTACTTTCCAGTAACTTTTTAGCCCCGGTGTGATTTAGAGCCTCCAATGTGTTGCCACCGACAGTTCCTGCCAATGCCAGGAGCTCCCTCGCACAGCTTCGTGCTTCCTGCCTGGCACCGGGCAGAGCAAGGCAGAGATCCTTCGCCCTGCAGCAGCCAGACCCCGTCTGTTGTTATTTTACTCTGAAAAGTTCAGAAAGTGTCTCTGTACCTATGTATTTGCAGCAAGGACAACACGGCTCTGTCTCCAGCTGGCTCTCGCTGCTGCGCGCTGAAGCTCGGGCAGAAAGATGAAGTAGGCAGCGCTGGCTCACCGTGCGGTTGTTGCCACGGGCACGGAGCAGGTCTCTCACTTCACCCCCTGGGAAGCCAGGGTTCATTTGTACGCGGGAACATTTCGGATGCTGGGATCGGTTTAGCAATGGGTACCTTTTCCCCAGAAGAGCCGTTACCGGGAGCTTGGCAATAAGCGATGGCTGTGAACGCAGTGCTGGGGCACCCTGGCGATGGAAACAAGGGCAGGGCAAGGGGCACATGCTCTGAAGTTGGTAATGGTGTCTCCCCTCATGTCCTGCAGCAATGAGATACATGGATTAATTTTAAATGCATTGGTAGCATATGGGTCTAAAATTATTTCATGCTATTTAGAACAAGTCCTTTGAGCTAAGGCTGTTGTAAATTCTAATTAGTCTGTGCTAATCTCCATAATAAGCAGCCATTTCTAATGCAGATCTAACTGATGAGGTCTGACAGCATTTTCCACACTTATTTATACACTGGCAGCAAGCTGGTATCGTGCTAGTATCAGAATGTTTGCTCGGGTTATGAAAACTCTGTATTTTCTGCACTCTACAGGGAGTTTGTATTTGCTGCAGGCTTGTGCTTCTACTAGGGTTGCCAATTTATGCCTGTTTGCTTGTATTTATTTATACAGAAAATAGGGAAAACTCCTTCAGCCGTTCCCGAAGTTCCAGTGTGTCCAGTATCGACAGGGACTCAAAGGAGGCAATTACAGCTTTGTACTTCATGGAGTCCTTTGCCCGAAAGAACGACTCCGCCGTCTCCCCCTGTCTCTGGGTTGGAACAGGCCTCGGTATGGTCTTAATCCTCTCCCTTAATCTGCCTGCTAGTGACGATCTACGGCAGTCAGAGCCAGTCATGGTGTCGCCAAGTGGTAAGAGTGCAGCTCTTTTCCTGTTTATTATCTGTCTTGGTACAACAGGGGGAATAACTGCATGGTTTTGTATGGCCTTTTGGGTAGAAACTTCTCAGTGCATGTGTTGAGCAATGTTCACTCACTACATAGAGGGCACACAGGTATATAAAGATGCTCGGGGAACCTGCAGCTTCGTGAACTGAGCCACTTTGGTTGTGTTACTTCCCAAGATTACCTTGTGTCACGAGCAAAATTACATGTTTCCTGTGAGGAAGGGGAAATTAGCAGAGTTTCTTCATATTGTGCAGTTACGGTCCTGTGTACAGGTCTGATGCAATCCTGTTTAGGATGCTGTGAACAGTTTGGCTGTCTTACTATCAGAAAGCTGCAGAGAAGCAGAAGGTTGTTCGGGAAAGGAAACAAAAACGTTGGCAGGTTGATGTACCAGGAGAGATCCTTGGCTGAGTGAGTGACAGATGGTGTAGCAGAGAGAACAGAGGGCTGAGAGAGGTCAGGTCTGAGGAGAGGCAGTACGCGCTTAGTATGTTTAAAGTAAAAAAATGACAAAAATCAGAGGATGCACAGGAATAGAGGTTTCCCACCTCCGGTTTGTTTAGGAAAACAATGCTGGAAGGTCACCAGACTAAGGAGAGCAATTTTACTGCTGGGAAAGAACTACCCTACTAGTATAACGTAGAGATAAACAACAGCCTATCCTTATGGTATTCAATAGCATGTATCATATAGATTATTTGATAGAGGCTGCCTGAGACCTTTTCGGTACTGGCAGCCTGCTTGTTCACTTTCTTTTGTGGTCAGGAAGAACTGAGCAAGGAAGACTTGCCACCTTGGCTAGATTAACCTGTGTGCTCTATTTACAAAAGCGGAATGTCAGCTGTGCTGCCCGTGTTCACAGTCCTGACAGCGAGTTTAATTGTCGTGCCAGTGCCAGTGAGAGGAAATTATATTTTGCAGGCACAGTTCTGACACTCAAAGGAGCTGTGCTGACCTTCGCGTGCCTGGACTGCATGGGGACATTGACACATCCACCGTATGAAGTATGGAGGGACCCACACAGTGCTGATGATGGTGAAAAAACAAGAAAAAGGAAACTTGTCATGCATTCCCCTTCCTCCTCTCAGGATATGGGTGATCATCAATTTGCAGTCATTTGTTCAGAAAAACAAGCCAAAGTCTTCTCATTGCCTTCCCAAACATGTCTTTATGTCCACAACATCACCGAAACGTCCTTTTTATTGCGAGCAGATGTGGTCACCCTCTGTAACAGCGTCTGTCTGGCGTGCTTTTGTGCCAATGGGCACATCATGACACTGAGGTACTTATCTAACTAATCTTGTGGCAAAACTAAGCAAAGAGATGGCACAGTGCCGTCGCATTCCACTTGTGTTTACTCCAGAGTGCCTGATGCTCTGCCTTCGCTCCCAGGCGGGGGCACCTAGCGCCCTGCCCTGCCCGCTGCCATACCTGTTCCTTGGCCTGTCTCCCCATGGGGAGTTAAGGCAGCTGCACAGCAGAGCGAACCCCTTTAGTCCATAGTAATCCCCCACCCATGCCAATTGATGGCTGATGATTTTTAACTATCATAAAAGAAAACCCTGATTAATTTTGCTCGGTTATGGTAAGTCGGGTCCAGAGGAGTATAAACTCAGGCATAGGAAGGGGACGGTTTATCCCAGTGTGAAGTAGCAAGACTCATTCTTGCTGTTTCGGAAGATTTTTCCGCTTGGAGCGCCTGGTTTCCCTTCCTTGTCATCTCCAGCGGTGGCCTGACCGTGCCATAGCCCGGTCGTCGTGCCCTCAGCTTGCCGCACCCTGCCGCTCCCCAGCCAGGCCACTTAAATTTCTGAAAGGGCCGTCTGAAACGGCGCCCCAGGAGAGGCTGGAGGGCGGCAAAAGGCGATGCTGGAGCCTTTGTCTGCAGGGTGCAAAGGGGGCCCTGCCAACTGCGCAGCCCCCCGGCACGGGCCGTGCTGTGCCCCACGCACATCCCACACCCAGGCAGCCGCAGAAGCCTGAGGGTCGTCGGGGCGAGGCGGCTGAAGCTTCTCCGTGCAAGCGAACAGCATGTGATGGGAAGGCGGCATGTTTACGGCAGAAGCTTAGAGCTGCCCTTTAACTATTCCAGTTACGAGAAGCATAAACTTAAATGTCAGTTTAAATGCGGCGGCAGAGCAGGCGTACCGCGTGTGGCAGCCGGTGACTAACCTCGGTATCTGCCTCTCTTCAGCTTGCCCAGCCTCCGCCCACTGCTGGACACCAACTATTTGCCCGTAACGGACATGAGGATAGCGCGGACCTTTTGTTTCACTAACGAAGGGCAAGCTTTGTACCTCAGCTCTCCCACGGAGATCCAGCGCCTGACGTACAGCCAGGAGATGTGTGACAGCCTGCAGGTGAGGCTCACGCCTTTCCCTGGGAGCCGCTGTGTTTCTGTGGGAGGGCCGGCGGCCTGCCGCGCCAGATGTAAATGGCCACGTGTTGACTGCGAGGTTTCAGTGCGTGAGGTGAAGGCTGAGCTGCCGGGGCCAGGGCAGACGTGTTCCTCTCCGCTTGCCCCGGCCGAATGGTGCCAGAGCAGCAGAGGTGGTGGTGGTGGTGGGGGGGTGTCAGCAGCTCTTGTGGCTGTTTGGACGCTGTCACCCTGCTCCTGTGCCCCCCCTGGCCGGGCCGTAACGGCGATCGCTGCTGGCTCTGTACACTGGCAGATTTGTGCCCAAATGGGACCCCTCGCAGCCAGCTTCTCTCAAAGCCCGACTGTACGAGAGACCGACCGTTAGTTAAAAATGACTGAAGGGAGAGAAGGGGAAGCCGCAAATGGATAGCGGCTACAGCAGTTGGTACCAGCGTGTGTCCGACCACACAGCAACTGCCTCAGCGAAAATACGAATTCCTTCCCCTATTTTTATCACTCCTCATTTTAACTCTAAAAATACCTTAATACCTGCAGCTTTCAGTAGATAGGTGGGAGCATGAGACAAACCAGTGTGGGTAGTATCAAAAAATATGCTCTGTTTTAATATATTTTAAAATTATTTACCATTGTTTTTACTCTAGTAATTGGTACTCCCCTTCTTCCACATGAGGAAAGTATCTCCTATTGTACATTAAAATACATTAGCTATGGAAACGGTCTAATTAAAATAATTTATTTTCAGCAAAAGGTCTTTACAATGTTAGATTTGGGTTGTATTTTTTTTTTTTTTTTACAATGAAAATGCAAATTAAAAAGTCATTTACTGAAGAGGAGGAATTGTGAGAAGTTACAGGGAGAAACATGAGTAATAAAAGGGAAAAAAAAAAAAAGAGGGGGAATAAGTTCTAGGTTATATAATTGGCAGTGAACTAGGGTAGAAATATAAAAGAAATGGTCCTGCCAGCACTCATTATGCCCTAGGGAATAACATGTGCTGAGCGGCTCAGCTCACATCACAGCCCTCTCTGTCTCAAGTCTGTAAAAGCACCGTGAGGAACGAGCATTGCACATAGGCTTTTGCGCATCGGAGGAAGGATTATTTTGCAGGGAACCGATTTTAAGATGATCAAAAGGTTTGATCAACGTATCTTAGAATATAGGCCTATAGCAAGAGGCTGTTACGAGCTAGATTTTTTTTAAATTAATAGCATCATAGAACAAGCAACCAAAGGGAAACAGCCCTTGCTTCTCTGTACTGCCAGACTGCAGCTGCTCATAGCTTGGCTTTTATGCAAAGAGGGCCGTAAAAGGCTTGCGCAGTCATTAGATGTGTACAAAAAGCAGATGACCCAGTATCACCCGCTACCTCGGAAAACAAAGCCAGGCTGCGCCGAGAGCCTCCCCTTGGGCTCGAAGGGCTGCAGTCACTTTTGTCCCCGGAGCAGGTGACCGTGCGGAGGAGCAGCCAGCGTGGGTCCCAGCGCGGTCCCAGCTCCCGGCTGTATCGGTTTTATCCTGCGGAGCCCACTTTTCCTAGAACTGCTGCAAATAAATCAGGGCCTGAGGTTTGTTTGGGGCGACTGCTCCAAGGTCTGGCAGAGTGACCGTGCCTTCGGCAGCCGTGCAGATTGAGCACGACACTGCTGGCACTGCCAACGTGCGCTGTAATGGGGGCGGGGAGCAGCGGCTGGAGAGAAGATGATGGGATTTCGTTTAAAAAAAAAAAAAAAACAAAAAAAACACCCTACGCAAACAAACAGCAAAACACCCAAGCAAACAACAGAACACCGAACTCTGAACTGCTACCAAGCACTGAGCTCAGGTACGCTATAGAGAGAGAACAGTGACTGCCCTGCTTGCCTGACTAACCACTCAAGCAAGATACGTAAGTCAAAACAAATTGTTTATTCAATTATAGTGTTGCCTCTGCTGTTTCTAAGCAAAATGTGATCTTATCACTGGTATTTTCACTCTGCAGTGCTTATATTTTTTTTTTTTTTCCTCTGGGGTAATGAACTTAAGACTGGGCAGTGGCAAACCAAGTCCCTTTGAAAGCATGACTTAGCCCAAGCATTCGCCTGTCATGAAACACAACTGTTAAGTACTCAGTATTGTTCACACAACAGACTCTTTTAAATGAGTTGATTAGATCCAATGCATGCGGCTCATTAATGCAAATAAACACCTAGAACTGCCTTTGCCTCACTAATTTTTTCACATGGACTTTTGTCTGACACTGCTAGGACATGCTTGGGGATTTATTTACTCCTGTGGAAACACCAGAAGCCCAAAACAGAGGCTTTCTCAAAGGACTTTTTGGAGGAAGTGGACAAGCTTTTGACAGAGAGGAGCTTTGTAAGTAATTTATTAGCTTTGGGGTTTGTTTTGTTGTTTGTTTGTTTGTTTGTTTTTTTCATAAATTAATTCATGGGAGCCCCTGCCCTTTTCATCTAGGAATGGAGTGGTACATAAGATTTAGATCATTGCTGAAAAAATAAAGATAACACTGTGAAGAAAGGGGAGGGTCCTCAGTTCCCAGCACATGATTTCCTTTACCTCGGCAGCTTCTTTTGAGCAGCTGAGCGGGGGGAGGGCCCCACACCTGCACTGTAGATGTGCGGGTGCACCGAGCGGAGCCTTCCACACGTGCCACCTGCACATCCCACGGCATCAGCCCTGCGAGGCTGTACCTCCAGGATGAGAAGCACTGACAGCACCACGGCCAGGAACTCATTCCCACCCCTCTGTCCGTGTCTCCTTTGCAGTTGGCGAGGCCACGGCGGGAAAAGCCTCTCGCAGTCTTGCCCAGCACATCCCCGGATCAGGTGGAATTGAGGGCGTGAGAGGAGCCGCAGGAGGAGTCATTGGGGACTTGACTCGTGCCCGCATTGCCCTTGATGAGAGAGGACAGAAACTGGGAGAGCTGGATGAAAGGACTGCGAGCATGATGGCCAGCGCAGAGGCGTTTTCCAAACATGCACATGAGGTAGGGCCCTGGCACCCCCCACCCAGAACTAGGAACTGCCAACCCTGCAACTGAGGGAAAGTCAAGGACTCCCTCCCCATTCGCCCAGTCATGGTGTTTTAGGTGTACTCGTGTTAACTGGCACGCCATTTTTCTTGCTCCCAAACGATGAGAATGCTGAAAATAAACCGCCACTGCACACCCCTTCCTTTCGTGTTTTCATAAATGAGCATCCATTGTTAGCCTCTGAATTTAGAACATGGCACTTCTCCTCTCCCGCCTGGCGCACTAAGTCATTATGATTGAATTTTTTTGAAGCCACTTAGTGCAGCACATCTTTGCAGTAGGGCAGAAAAGAGGTAGGTGGGTGTGTATATAGGAACCTTTACAGATCTTATTGGGAAGAAGAGGAGAACATTTCTAGCACAACACCGTGGTACAGTTATACAGAATAGGGCTTGCCTGGAATAGACAGCTTCTGTGCTTAGAGCTGGAAACAGAAAGCTCTTCCATCCCACACTGTTAAGGCTGGGAATCAACTAAAGTGATTTTCCTTGAAGATAAAACAACATTAAAGAATGCTTCCCAAAATGCATGCTTTTTCACTTAACATGCATCATATCGCTGGACAAGAGCTTCACATTTTTATTGGCTTTTGTAAGTGTGAGGCAAAAATACGCAGAAAGAATGTGCCCTGAAATGCCAAAAGTTTATATATTCATGGCATCATTACTATGCTCCATCTTAACTTACTTAAAAAGCAAGTTCCTGGTCAGTCCCATACCTCTGTACTTTTTGCATAAGAAAAGTAGTTAAAGTTCCTCAGGAAAAAATCTTTTAATAAACAGCAATAGCAGGTAACTTTTTTTTATTATTATTTTTTAAATGTAACAATTATGAAATTAAATACAAGGACTCACTGGACACTGCTAGTAAAGTACTGCATTGTTCTTCCTTTTTTACTTACGAAGTTTGTGACAGTTAATGGGCTTAGGTCATGTGTAATACCTCCTGTGCAGAACAGTGGTTTATATCTGTTTGTTTCCCATTTCTGTAGGTGATGCTGAAATACAAGGACAAAAAGTGGTACCAGTTTTAGACTTTCAAAGAAGCTGCTTGTGGCTTTAAGAACACTGTTCAAGGAAGCAGCATTCCTTCCCAAATCTACCAGTCACTGGCCAGAGACAGTTTCTTCTCCTAGAAGATGTTTTCCTGTTACTATTATTGGATTCATCACAGTGGGAGTCAAGGAGAAATTTTACAGTCCGTGACACAGAAGCTAGAATCATGTGGGTCTCAGTCCAACAGCTGGCTCATGCAGTAGCCAGTTTGTTTCCAAAACGAACTCAACCATCACTGTGGCATGTAGTTTTTCAGAAGCTGTAGGTATGAACTGTGGGGAGTGCGTCTGGTAAAAAATACTCTGTACAAACAACTCAAATGTTAATGCACTTACAAAACTTTGCATGACTAATTGACATCTTAAAAAAAAAAACAAAAAAAAAAAACACAAAACAAAAAAACAGAAAAAGAAAGCATGTTGTGACCGAAGAAAAATGGGATTTATTTCTAGTCTGAGAGAAAAAAAAAAAACCCACAAACTTAAATGGCAAAAAAATCTTTATTTTTTAAAAGTGTCATTACAAAAAGCCAGTACATTTCAAGCATGTTTGCTACTGTTCTCAACATAAAGATGAGTTGAGCTGCATTTTATCTGCTGTTTATTTCCCTTGAAATCAGTGCTCTTTAACTCTTACCAGAAGAATAAATCAAAATCCTATGCCCAGAATTTACAGATTTTTCAAGTAGCTAGACAGACATTATCTGAAACGTCATTAAAACCTGAGCAGAAATGGTTTATTTGCAATTCAGAGCACATGACATGTCATCCTTATCTGTACTTTTTAAAATGTGCTCCAGATTCACCTCCACTGTCCTTGAAGGGGGCTGTGGCATTTTTCATCCCCGTGGTGTCTGTATCACTTGGTTGCCTTATTTCTCAGCAGCAGGAATAGAAAACCAGCTTAGGAAATTGCTTCTTCAAGTTAGGAAAGGCAAGATGGGAAACTGCAGTCCTGTCAAGTTCTGCTCACAGAAGCTGCTTAGCACCTTGCAGAGCAGCAGTTTTTCTTGAACAGTCAGTTGAAATGATGCTAAGGAAACTGCACAGTAGCCCCCCACCCCCCCCAAAAAAAAAAAAAAGCTGGGGGAGAGAGATCAGAGCAGCAAGACTAAACGATGGGCCAGGGGAGGGGCAGGGAAAGCAAGCAATTGTCAACATACAGTGCTGAATTGGCACGTCTATAAAATGACACCATGGGTGAGTGGCAATTGATTTTCTGCTCCCACCGCTGAAAGTGGTTCGCTTCTGCTTCAGAGTGGCTCGTCTGGTTTCTGCAGCAAACCCTGCAGAAAACTCTCCGACCTGCAGCTACAGAAAACAGTAAGTAGAACCTATTACCTGCCTACGTGAATAGATTCCTAGCCCCTGAGTGTGCTGCAGCCACGGTAGCCTCCAAGAAGCCTCGCTGCCAAACAAGTCAACTGTTAAGTTTGAAATTTTTCCAAGACTGGCTTGGAAACAAGGCACTGAAGGTTTGTTTTCGTGTGCGTGGACATAGTTTCAAATTAGCAAAGGGAAGTGAGGAAAAGGTGGGAAAGCAGCATTTCAAATTTTTTTATACGAGCAGAGTGACATCCTCTGTCCCTTCAGGGGCTCCTGACAGACACAGGCAACATCCCCCTCCTAACTTGACCTTAATTTCACTGGTGTTTATGTCATCCTGGTGTCCAGCTGATCTCTCTCCAAGATGTCTTTCCCATAGCCTTCTTTTCCTTACAATAAAATGGAGCCCAGGAAATTGTACAGTCCAGAAGCGTGGCTTCACTGTCAGCCCAGCTGCCCAAGTTAAAGGGTTGAAACAGATTTGAGGTATTAAGTTTTAAATTCACATCGTAGCACGACAGGAATTCCATGCTTGACAGGATTTTTGCATTTCTCTGTGTGCAAAATCAAAACGATGGCCCCGGCAGGTTTAGCTCAGCTGGGAATTAAGACTCCAGAAATTCCTCTCTGTCGCAGGAGAAGCTGCTCTATAATCGTGAGAACTGTAGAAACTTGTTGGGGAAAAAGGTCAAAACCCAGGTTTCTGCTGAGAGTTAAAGGACTTGGAGTGGTCCACGAGCTAAGAGGATGTCTGTGCGTGTGAGGAAACGGCAAACTCGCCACGCTGATGCCAACAGCGACTGGGTTGTGGAACCCCTTCCAGCAGCCCAGTCACAGAACTGGCCACTCGCGTGCGTGAGGAAGCACAACTGCAACCAGGCACCAAGAGTGAGAAGCGGATGAGAACATCACAGCAATTCTGTCTTCTGTTTTAACATTCGCTCTGGTCTACACGGCAAAACCACTCGTCTCTGGGCCACCGAGTCATGTGGGGCAGCAGAGCATTCAAGCCCTCTGAACAACTTCCTAGGCCGAGCAGCCTTCCTTAGGAGCAAGCCCAGGACACCCCGCCAGCCTTTGCTCCGTACCCAGCTCTACGCTTGCTTCCGCACGGGGCCGGTGCGGCTGGCAGGGCCGTCACCAGTTCCAGTGGGGCACTCGTGCACCCCCCGGTGACGGGGCCAGTTCCGCTATAGCCTGGTGTAAGGCAGCCAGCCCTCGGGACCGCAGCCCGGCGAGGGGTAGCGCAGGGCGCTCGGGGGGCACCGCTTGGTTCACTCGGATGACACGGGAGCTGCCAGTTCCGCGTAAGGCTGCGGCTGGACCTGACGCTGGGTAATACTGCAGGTCCCCCTTACCTTGATTTCAGTGGAAATGGCTTCAAGCTGGAGCCAGAGCCTGCTCACTCCTTTGAGAATCGCGCGTCAAAATTTAAGAGCAGCTTTTAATTGCCAATCACTACGGCACGCCCAGAGAGAAAAGTGTCTCCAGCAAGCCTTTTACAGAATGCCTGATTGACTTTGGCTGCCAGCAGTCTCTAGCTTAACACCAGGGGAAAAGAAAACCTGCTAGTAGATTTCCATTTGCATTTTTATGCAACCATGAGAATCGAGCATCCCTCAAACTTACGATTTTTAATACCAAACTTTTAAGCAACTTTTCTCTAGTACTCCCCATCAGGTCACAGCTGTATCTTGCTTTCCACTCTTACATATTTTACATATTTCCAGACAGTTACAAATTACTATTTCTGTTAAGTCCACCACTTGTGACTATAATTATCAATTTTCTTGTAGTCTGTAGAGATCTAAAATGCTGTATATGTTTGTATATAGAACATTCTATATATATAAATATATATATGTAATGTATATGTTGTATAAGTTTGTTAGTGCACACTGTTAAATGCTTTCTAACAAGATTTACCATGTATGTGGAAAAAAAACCCTTCACTTAAAAACTTCAATGAGGGAGGAAGAAAACTCTTGCCTGGTTGATTTACTGTGAAATGAGGGGGAGTGTGGGATTTTTGAAAGGCCTGACCTGAACGCCGCTGAAGGCTGGTGGTGAAAGGCAGAAAGGTGCAGCATTCCGAGCAACAGGCACAGCACCTGCCATGGCTTGCTGTAAGGAAATTGAGGGCACTAGTTGTCCCTGGATGTTGAAATCACGAGCTTTCACCTGTCCCACTAAGACAGCGCCACCTCAAGCAAAACCCTAAACCCAGACGTATCTTCCACGTCGCAATCCTCAGTTATGCGAGAGCAGATTGGCAAAAATATTAGTGCAATTTAAAAAGCTTTTTGTTCATTTGGAGACCCTGGTCCCTCACATTCTTTTTTACAGGAGCTCTCTATCATAACGACATCCAAACCCACCCCCACAGAACTTCCAGCAGCACACACACACCTCTGGGTTTCACCAGATGTTTTTAAACTTATGCCTAGAGCTGTAAATAGACAGAGTATGCAGAGAAAATGCATTAAATCAGATTATTTATATGTTTTCAGAGTTGGCAATTATTCAGTGAAGTGCAAGCTATTTTAGTAATAAAAAAAAAAAAAAAAATCCATTCCTAGAGCTTTAACTTAAGCTTCAAATCCTGAATTAAAAGACACAATAAAGGAAAATTTGAGAATGAGTTTTTGTTTTGTATGACGTGTTTTCTAAATTTCTTTTACAGTTCTACAGTTCAACTGTGTACGCCAATTAGACATTCGCTATATTACCAGAATATAGCTTGTTACACAAATATTTAACAGAAATAGTTTATTTATTGCACACACTATATAAAATTATCACATATAAAAATTCTCAGAAACAGTCTACATATTCCTTTTACAGAAGCCCTTTTACACCAGTGCGTGCACTGTAATGAAGATATGCATGCAAAATTATTTTTTTCAGCATACAATTTAAGAAGTGAAAAAACCACTGCAGCTGAAGTGAGTGGTGTTCAACCTCAGGACTCTCCCATTATAAACTGTGTTTCAAAAGGCCAGATTACAGTTAATTATACCCCTTAAATACAGTGCCCCCCCCACATCCTTTTTCATAACCTAAAGGTGAACTCAAGTGCAGTATATTTCAGTCTTGAATGGTTTTTTTTGCCTTGGTATGGTCTTACTAAGAACACACTCCCTCTCATTAAGGAACTATGTGTGGCCATTTGTAGTCAACTCTTCATCTTAGGTGTATAAGCAATAGTCATGTAAATGAGTGTTTCCATTCATGTGTTTTGTTTTGTGATTAAATCAACAAATCGAACATTGTACTTTTTTAAATAGCAACCAATAGTCAGATTCAGTGTCAAGGAAATGTAGACAGAATACGTGGGGGGTTTGTTAATGAGTCGTTACCTGTATCTCAGAAGGCAGGCTAATCTGGGGTGAACCACACACTCCTGCTCTAACCATGTCCTGTTTCCACAGGTACCCTAAATCAGCGTCAAAAAAGGAAAACTAAGGCATCTTTAACTGAGGCTGTTTCAAGTCCCCAGTAACAACCAAAAAAAAAAAAAGGGGGAAAGAAAATAAAGAATTGATATTAATTGGTGTAGATCTCATTTTTTTTTTTTTTTTTTTTTTTTTTTTCAAACTCTGCTCCCCGATTCTTTATAGTACCTCAAAAGCACATGGTTTATCTAACTCCTTTGGACAGAGTTCACACTGCTCACTCAGCAATATGGGAAATGCAGCCATGGTTGTTGGTGGGGGGGGGGGATGGCCACATACCTCCCTCCTTCTGGGACAAAACCTGGGCCCCAGCTACCATCTCTTTGCTTTACCACAGGGAGCTCACGTGGCGCCCATAATCACCAGAGCAGCCCCCAGGAATGATGGCCTCCTACCTGGGCTTCTCAGCACCCAAGAGCACCCTTCACCTCACTTCCACCTCGGGTTAAAGGCAGTCACCTACAAGCTGAACCCTCAGACAGCAGAGGTGAGCTCGTTAAAGAGCAATTACCAACCACATGATTGAGGAGAGCCAGGAGAGGCTCAAAAACATCAGCCAAATCTACTGGGCTTCCAGCTCTGTCTTTTTAGCTACAGATTTGTCCTGGGTTTGAGTGAGTGGTGGGGTTTTTTGGTGGCAGGGGAGGGGGCC